AATATAAATTAAACAAACATATTTATAAATATAATAAAATGGTCATTTATCTTCTCGAAGGTGCATGTTCATTAGCAACTTACTGGTTAGAATAACATTAACAGAGACACCTAAAATTTAGGTAACTAACTTTTATGTGTAAAATTCACCAAGAAATTGGAGTACAAAAATTATTTGATTAAACCCCTATTTTGGTTCCTGAACTATTGTACGGACCTCCGATTTGGTCTCTGAACTAAAGAAATCCTTAATTTGGTCATTGAACTATTGTACGGATCCCTGAGTTGGTACCTGAACTATTGTACGGACTCCCAAGTTAGTCCCTAAACTATTGTACGGATGCCCAATTTGGTCCCTACTGTTTACTAATTTAACCTCAACTTGGTCATTCTGTTAAATAATAGTTCAGGGACCAAATTGGGGCGAAATTGTAAACAGTAAGGACCAAATTGGGAGTCCGTATAATAGTTCAAGAACCAACGTCGGCCAAATTATAAATAGTGGGGACCAAATCAGAGGTCCATACAATAGTTTAAGGACCAAATCAGGGATTTCTTTAGTTTAGGGACCAAATCGGGGATCCGTACAATAGTTCAGGGACCAAAAATGGGGATTTAACCAAACTATTTTTATTACTAATGGATGAACCCTATGGTAGAAAAATGTTGTCGATGACTCTTCTCGTCATCTAATGACAATGATTACATTAGAAGCAATTCTTTAAAGGAGCCTTAACCAATAGGAAAGTAGTTGTAATTTTAAACTAAATTTAGACTTTCAATTCTTTCACCGTAGGAGCTAGTAATTTACTACCTCTGTTACACTATATTAATCATTTTAAGTTTATGTATAAGAATTAAGAAAATAATTACTTATTTTTAATTTCATTGTTAAATAAAATAAAAGTGCCATCTTACCCTTTTCTTCACCCCTCAATCTTCTATTTATATAAAACTCCATCTATCGTTATATTTTATCTTGTCTTTTTTTTTTTTTCTTTCATTGTTAAATAGAAAATTTTAAAGTCACTAATAGTAAATTTAATGTATTGAGATTATAAGGAAAACTAAATAGCCATTTTGAAGAGTTTTAGAGATTCATAAGCCAAAAAGGAGTGCTATATATGAAACAGAGGAAAGTGGAGATCTTTGTTTTTTTTAAATAACAAAGTTTAGAGTCATTAAGTTTTTATTGTAGGGTAAAGTTGAAAGAAAAAAAATTAAAGTGATCTTGGTTTACTCAAAATGAAAAATAAATAGGAACAAAAATTTGTACCTAAAATGACTAATATAGTGGAATAGGGGGAGTACATTTTTAAGATGTGTTTGATATTTCTAGTAATCTAAACAACTGAAGAGTAATGAATGAGCAACTTAAAAAGTTAGGTGACCATTATGTTAGGGCTACCATTTAAGTGATAAAAATGTTGATTTTAGCAATTTTTGTTAATAATTTTGTTAGAATT